CCTTGCAAAGGTCAGGGCTGTGCACCCATTGTTAATCCAGACAATTGTAGCTGAAGCAACTTCCCCATTTATTATTATGTAAATGTTTGCTGATGGGATAGTCTGCCTGTTACTGGAAATTGCCTGCCTAAGGACTATGGGTATATACCAAACCAATAGAAGGTTGCCTGGTGTGGCCAGTGGAAGTCTTTCCTCTTGAGTTGGACTTACCCGTCTGGCCCCCCAATATTTCCAAATTATCTCTTGTCTCTTCTCTTTCATTTGTATGCGGCTCCTCTTCCAGATCCTGAACCCTGAACCACGTGGGACGTGGAGGGAAACATTTACCACACTATTTTCCTGATGTGATTGAATTATTTGTGTTCTCTTGTAGTTTTCTGAGTTTCCTTAAAACAATTATTTGAATTCTTTGTCAGGAAATTTATAGACTTCCATTTATTTGGGGTCAATTATAGTGTTCATTTGGTGGTAATATTTTTCTTAACTTGTCATGTCCCATGTAGCCTTGCATTATTGTCTGCACATTTGAAGTAGCGGGCAGCTATCTCGTCCTTTATTGACTTACATTAGTAGGGAAATATCTCCACGTGTGGGTAGATATAAGTACATTGGCTAGTGGGGTGCAGTGGCTCTGGTTCTATCTATTACAGTGGAAGTCCCATATCTGGGGGCTGGGAAAGAAACAGCATTGTTGTCTTTGTACGAATCCATAAGCTGAAGTAACCATTGGCAAAGACTCTGAGGACATTTAACAGGCAAGAATCTAGGTATCCATGGAGGCCATGAAAGCTGCTGGAGTCCTCAGTGGCAAAAGCTGCTAAGATCTACTTGCTCTCTTCTTCATTCACAACATATAGTTATAGCTTAGAGAATTCCTCTTGGTAACAGGACCGGGTTTACAGGTGTGGTCATGGCAGCAGTGTTCATTTATAAACTATAAAAACCTCAAAGACTTCTTCATCTATTTATTATTAGTACTAGTAGCCTGGTGCACGAAATTTGTGCACATTAAAAGGGAATTAATTGCCCTAACCAGTTTGGCTCAGTGGATAAAGCATTGGCATGCAGACTCAAGGGTCCCAGGTTCGATTCCGGGCAAGGGTATGTACCTTGGTTGCAGGCACATCCCCAGTGGGGAGTGTGCAGGAGGAAGCTGATCAATGATTCTCTCATCATTGATTTTCTCTCTCTCCTTCCTCTCTGAAATCAATAAACTATTTTTAAAAATTTTGTTTTATATTTAATATGAAATGGGGCTACATTTTAATCTTTATGTGGGTGGAATCTGCCTACAAAGACCTTATAATTGTCTGATTTTAAGATCTCAGGCCTCTCCCAACGCCTCAGAATGACAGCAGCCAGTAGGGTCAATGGGGGAAAGGGGATCTATGTAACACTGTCACCAATCAGTTATTGGGAAAAAGATGGCAGGGCAATCCGAGCAGAGGGTCTGAGACCCTGCGGAGGAGGTGGCTGTCAGGCCGAGCTGAGGGTGCAGATGGGTCCTTAGCGGCAGGGCTGGGTGTCACAGGCCCTGGGAGAGCAGGCAGGAAGGAACTCACAAATCAGAAACGTCTTCTCCTGCAGGTCGAGAACATGTGCATCGGGAAATCTATTCCTGCATGGCCCTCCGCCTGGCCCCTCCACCATCCCATTTCCACACCCCACTCATCCCGTGTCTGAGCGATGGCTTTCATTTCCGAGTACCGCGCTCGAAGGCTCTGGTGAGCCCTGGAATCTTGCAAACATGTGGAGTCTGAGTGGCTGGGGACCCTGACAGCCAGAAAGACACACTCAGAGGCCCTGCCTTCTGACACTGTGACTGTGGCCTCTCCCAACGCCTCAGAAATGTGACACCAACCAGTAGGGTCATATTGTTTTTATTATCCTGTTAAACCTGAGCTTCTCACTGCTTCATCCTCCAGAAATTGTTTCTTTGTAATGGGGTGGGGCCACAACATTAGTAACAAAGAAACAAAATTAAAACTTTATTGTTGGGAGCCGCTACAGTGTTTTGGAAAGGTTCAAGCCTTGGACTGCAGAGAGGGCACAGTCCTCTCATTGCCATGTGCAAGTCCCAGCTTGGAGGGTAGGGCCCTCCCAGCACAATTATAGCCAACAGGTGTAGTTGTAAGCTTGAACCTATGGTCCAAACGTGTGGCCCCATGTGCCTGAGTGATGTGGGCTTGATAGAGTTCAGGTGCATGTAGTTGAGTAGGATTGAAACCCAGGAGAATGTTGTAAACATCTTGGTCATGCCCTTCCTTTGCCTTGTAGCTTCTGCTATCAAATAAAGGCATGGCTATGGGTGTGGTCGCTGTCTCTCAGAGAAGCAGTGTCCCACCAAGACTCTGCTTTCATGCTCTTGTCTGTCTTTTCTAAGCCTTTCAGCTGTCCCCACTCAGGTTCACCCCTGGCAGTGCTCTGAAGGCGGGTTAGTGCCTCAAACCCTGCCCTTACAGGAAACAGCTTTGGGGAGGAGGGTGCAGCAGTTGCCAAGACAACCCCTGCAGGACTAATTTCCTTCCACTTGGTCGCAGCGGTTCTGGATAGATGTGATGAACACCACCCATGGTTTTTACATAAGTAGATATTGTTATCATCATTATTTTATATCTGCTTACCTTCATTACATCAAGACAAGGATAAACTATTTTTTGCATGATCACAGTTACTACTCTAATTCCATTTCTATAACATCAAGTATAACATTATACACATATGGAAACCTAATACTTTCTTTTATCACAGTGATGGATATTTGGGGTTAAGCTAGATTATATGTAGCTAAGAAAATTAAATATTTGCTATGTTGGAAATTAGGTCACCAGTATAGATCTCAAAATATTTAATACTGTCTTATTATAAAGTTACAACATTAAAATCTGTACAAAGTCTTTTTCAGAAACTGGTATATCTGAGAAAATAATGACATAGTTACTTCTTAAGCTCCCACTAATATTTATTGTTACAAAAATATTTTTTTAAATATATTTTATTGATTTTTTACAGAGAGGAAGGGAGAGAGATAGAGAGTTAGAAACATCGATGAGAGAGAGACATCGATCAGTTGCCTCCTGCACATCTCCTACTGGGGATGTGCCCGCAACCCAGGTACATGCCCTTGACTGGAATCGAACCTGGGGCCTTTCAGTCCACAGGCCGACGCTCTATCCACTGAGCCAAACCAGTTTTGGCTACAAAAATATTTTTATTTACAAGACAATTCCTGTCAACTGTTGGTTACTTCCAAGGCACCAAGATTTGAACCTAGTATGAGTTAAGAGATGTTAAGTCGAGGAAACTGATCATCAGTTCATCACAGTATCTTCATCTTTTATTCAAGAGGGTTGATAAAATTAAAACTGTATTACAAAACAGCGCTGAAGAGAAGGAAGAATGTGGAAAGGGCAAATACTTTGCACTTAACCAGACATGGGATTTAAACAGCTCTGCTAATTACTAACTTTGTGTCTCTGTTTCCTGATTTGCAGAATGGGATTATTGAAAACGCTTTCCCCACGTGGGAATATGGTAAGAATTAAGTGAGTTAACACAGGAGGTAGAAGATGAATAAGTTCTCAATACCTAATGCATGGTATTATGATTGTAGTTAACAATACCTTTATTATATACTTAAAAGTGATTAAGAGACTATATCTTAAATGTTCAAAAAAAGAAACAATGATGTGAAATTGTGAAGATGTTGGATAACGCTATGGTGGTAATAATATTGTATATTGCAATATATAAGTGTATCAAATCAACACATTGTGCACCTTAAACTTATACAGTGTTATATGTCAATAATATCTACATTTTAAAAATTAAACTAAGGGAAAAAAACATGGGAGATACTTAGTAAATAGTAACTGGTAATTTCTTTCTATTATTATGTTTTGCTTAATGTTAATTTTAACTATGTCTTGCTTCTAGTTATATGAATCCACAAAAGTATGCATTTTTCCATTATTACCTACTGTGAGTACTGATTAAAGACTAATTCTCATAAATCACCATGAGCTTTTCAATTTTAGATGAGGAGGATGAAGAGAGCTACACTGCATTAAATTCAGAGTAAGTTTATCATACTGATTTAATTCAAGAATTTCCCCCTTTGCTTTTTCCTCCAAGATAAGGACCACAATACTTGAACATCTAGGAGCCTAAAGGAAAAGAGAAGAGGCTGCTACCAATCTGCCTATCACATTATATTGAATTCACCTGAAGTGTTAGATTGGAAACCCATGGCCCCTCAGACCATCTTTCGCCGCCCTTTATTACTCCCCACTAAAATTAGATGGTATTTATTTATTTATTTATTTGTTTATTTATTTAGACATTCATAAATGTTTAGAGTTATAATCCCACCTAATTCCAAAAGAGATGTGAGGGGTGGACTTATGATCAAAGGTAAGGAATAATTATCACAGGTAAAAGAGAGAAAACTAGTAAAAAGGAAGGGGATATTTCAATCCACAGGCATCTTTCTCTCCCTTCCATCTTTTTTCCTTGCGGACTCTTTGTTCTTCCTCTTTTCTTTAGCCACTGCTGACAATACCACAAGTCTGCCAGCACCTTCACTTAGCTAAGGAGGTGGTACTCCAACTAAAGAGACTGCAGCCTGCCCAAGGTGGATTCTCAGAATTACCATTCAGTGGTAAATTATTTAGAGAAAATTGAAGTAAAAAGCTTGATATGAAGCTGAAGGAGACAGCCTTTAGCAGGCAAAAGATGAAACAGCTAGCAAGATAAAAATTAGTATTTAATTCCTCTTCAACAAAACAATGGACATAATTCAGTGTTTCCTCAAATAGATTCTGACCTGTAATGGTTTTCTAGTTTCAATGTACAAGTTAGAGGTAGGATTAAGTATACTTCTTTAGTAACTGCTTAAAATTGAAGTATACGTATTATTGTCCTGCTCCCCTCAGCCCTCTTCTCTCCCATCACAGAATAAATCAACGAGTCACCTGCCTTAGATTTCTGAAGACCCTTACCTGTATTACAATTAAGATCATCAGGCTCTGATTCCGTTCCATTTTGGCTTCCATTTCCCTGAAGAGTGTTCACAGCTATAAGCTTCATTTTCTGTAGCTTCATTGCCTCAGCCATGGCTGCAGCAGTTATACCTAAAACCAGAATTATCCCTTTTAAAATTAGGACAACTTAATGTAATTGAAAGCTTTATGTTTCTTTATCAGGCTTATGCTACACAGCATAAGCAAAAGTAAGTCCACCTCTAATTTATAAATAATATTCATTAACAAAGTGAATTTCAATTCCCATAAATTACTTCATCTTGCAATGGACTATTTGAAAATCTAAAAACGCATTGATATGGTTGGATCCCCAATTCAAAACACAGAAAAACACAAAGAGAGTAATATGAAGATTCTTTTAGAAATTCCAAAACTCTTACTAATGTGTTCTGGTGTCTGTTAAGATTTCTAGAGAGTATTTTTTTTTAAGATAGAAATCACCTTATACTAAATTTCAACTAAAAAAATATTATCAGAGGAAGCACACTGAAATGTTAGAAGGAACCACTTTCTAATGAATATACTGCTGGTGCCCATGAATGAAAGGTGGGGGGGGGGGTAGAAAAAAAGATTTCAAGTAGTCTTTCTCCCAGTTTACCCTCCTTATCCTTGAAGGATAGAATAGAATATAAACATATCATGCCACATATGAAAGTTTGCCAGCCCCTGTAGTATAAAGCAATTACATTGTTTTGTATTAATATAAGTAAACTAGAGGCCCAGTGCACAGATTCATGCACTGTTGGGAGTCTCTTGGCCTGGCCTATGGATTGCAAGAGGGCACAGGCCAGGCCACGGAACCCCACTGGTGCACCATTGGGGCAGGGGAGGAACCGTGGAAGGGCTCCAGAGCATGGCCAGCCCATCTCACCCAGTCCCAGTCAGCCGGACCCCAGCAGCAAGCTAACCTAGTGGTCAGAGCGTTTGGCCCCTGGTGTCAGTGTGTGTCATAGCAACTGGTCAAACAGTCGAATGAATGGTCAGACACTTTGCATATTAAGCTTTTATTGTATAGGATTATTTTTAACTCTATATAATGGTATGAAGAGGTAGGAATAAAAAATCCAAAGAGAAAACATGAGTGCTGAAGTTTGAAATTTTATCTCCTAGGAAGTTTACATTAGGCTAAAAATATCTAAGGCAACAGTTTCTAAAAATAGAATCAATATTTCAGCAATGCTCTCCAAAAAGTCTAATAAATTAAACTTAATTATTTATAGATAGTATTGAAATGCTATAAGCTAAAAAATAATTTTCCGGTAGATTTAAAACAGTATTTTAGAAGATATGCATTAGTTGTTGAAAAAAAAAAAGCACAACTGCTATTATTAGAGGAATTTGATTCTAAGAGGTAGAATGAATCCTTATCAACAGTGTAAGGGGAAGTGAGTAAGTGAGTACACCCTAGAACACTTGATTGTGTATGTTTGAGAGAATAACTAAGGTTCTATTTTGCCACTCTGTACTCTTTACAATGCAAGGAAACTCAAAATGAAGCAAACTTTAACCACATTAGCTTGTCTATGAATCATGGAAAAGAAAGATCTGAAAGAAAATTATTTTAATCTCTGAATTGATTATATACATTTGGATATTTTCTAGATTGTCCCAGAGATTTTATAACCATATTTAGCTTTACTGAATTCAGAGCCTCCAAATCAGCAGTTCTCAACCTGTGGGTCGCGACCCCTTTGGGAGTCAAACAACCCTTTCACAGGGGTTGCCTAAGACCATCAGAAAACACATATATAATTACATATTGTTTTTGTGATTAATCACTATGCTTTAATTAAGTTCAATTTGTAACAATGAAATTGGGGGTCACCACAACATGAGGAACTGTATTAAAGGGTCGGGGCATTAGGAAGGTTGAGAACCACTGCTCCGAATGGACAGAAAATATGATGGTAAGGATTTAAACACAGGGACCCTACCTAGGACAGCCACAGCTGAGTGCCTCATAACCCAAAATTAATCAAGAAAAGTTTCCCCGAATTTACATCAGTTCCTCTGACTAGCAATCCAGGACTGAATCTTGACTGTGATAATTATGAAATTACTAGTTGTTTCATGACTGGTAATGTAAATAGTGGATTTTTATGAGCAAAATATGGATTCTGACTTTATGAAAAATAAATCAACAAAATACTTTATAGACAAGATATTCCAAGTAAAACGTGTATCTCATACAATGACACTAAGAAAGTGAATGAGGAAGGGCCCTCTAAAAATGTTTTAATTTATTGAAAAGATTATGTTTCAATATCTGTGCATTCTTTCAAGCAATTGCTATCTGCTTCCTTTTGAAGAAAAACTCAATGAAAAAATTCAGAAAATAATTTTAAGATGGTAAAAAATAATAGTATTTAGGAGCCATCAAAGATATTTAGGAGCCATTGGTTCAATATCCTCATTTTGAAGATGAAAAAAAATCTCACAGTAACCTGTCATAGGTCAGTTATTTTGGGAAAGATATGAAACAAAACCCAAGTTTCCTCATGGAAGCTTGATGTATTAAAGTACTGAAGTAATTTAAACATGAGTTAATGAAAATGTCTAAAGGGCACTGGCTGCTGTGGCTCATTGGTTGGAGCATCAGCCTGTGCACAGAAGGATCTTGATTTTGAGTCCTGGTCAAGGGCACATGCCTGGGTTGTGATTCACTCCCTGTCCCCTGGTTGAGACGCATGCGGGAAGCAAACGGTCAATGTGTCTTTCTCACATTGTTGTTTCTCTCTCTCTCTCTCTCTCTCTCTCTCTCTCTCTCTCTCTCCCTCCCTCCCTCCCTCCCTCCCTCCATCCCTTCCACTCTCTCTGAAAAGCAATGGAAAGGATATCCTCTGGTGAGGATTAACAAGAAAAATATCTAAAGGGATATGATTCTCTTATCAAACACAGTCTTATATTTTTAATTATTTTTTCTATAGCTTCTTGCATTTGATTCAAAGTTTAGAGATTTAACCTCTAACTCATATTTTGTATTGCCTTATGGTCCATATTGTAGTGACTTTAAACTTAGGAAATTTTAAATCTTATTTGTTCAGTCTTCATTACAACACCAGAATATCTATGCCTTTAGGTAAAACCATAATCAAGCAAATGGAAAGCAGTAGAAAAGATGTTTGATTTGTTTGACCTTTCATTAGCAATTTATCCTTTTAGTCAACTATTTGGTTAAATTCTTAATGTCACAATGCTCCTCAGTGTAACACTGATGGATTTAAAACAATAAATCATCTCCTAGCACCACATTCCCAAAATGCAGCCCTGGAAGGGCATGCAGAAAAGAGCATTCTGAGGAGGAAAAATAGTGGCTGAATAGGCAGACATGACGTACACCTCGTCCTGGGGCCAGACTGGAAATACAACTAAATCAGAGAACATCCACCCAGAATTAACAAATTAGACACAGCTGAGGAGACAATTTACAAGGAAGGGCAGAGGATGCCTGGAGACTGGTAGGAATGTGGATGTGGATTTGAGAGGAGCAGCTGGCAAGCAGGCAGAGAGGGTGAGAAGGAACTTGCATTGCACCAAAGACAAGTCCTTTGGCGACAGGCATAACATCCAACTGTGAAAAAAAAGTCACAGGGATGCTGGCTTCTGGGGAATCTGGACCCAAGACCACAGCCACGAAAAGCTGCACTGCAAAAGGTGGCTCTAGCAGCACAATGCGTGAAAGGTGGAGAGGAACCTGCAGTTTCGTGGTTGTTTTGTCTTTGCTTTTATTCTCTAAATCCATAACACAGGACTTTTTTACTTACAAACACTCACATGAGGCTTTGGGACAGGGAGGTACAGACTTGAAGTGTCTGAGGAGAGGCTGGGGAGGAAAGCAAGGCAGGGAGACATGGTCAGGAATCCTGCATTGGGCCATTCTTAGGCTTCCAAACCTAAGCAGCCATTTCTCCCCAGAAGAGCCAGCCCCTCCCAATAGTCTCAAGGCAGATAATACAGCCTGCCACACCCTGAAGTTTGAGCTCTACAGAGGAAATAAAGGCAGAGTCCACACTTATGGTTCTGAATAGTCACAAGGGGCCCTCAGTGACTTCATAGGAAGAGGGGTCATCCATGCTGCTATTCTGGGAACCAGACTGATAAAAACTGCAGGTTGCCAGCCAACACCATTGGTCTCCATACAAGGATCTCTGACCAACCATGGCAAGAGTAATATTTTGGGCCATTCTCAGAGGAGTCATTCTGGATCAGGAAAAAAAATACCCATCTTATTCCCTGAAAGCAAAACAGCATCTCCCCATCTAAAGCCACGTCAGAAACAAATGCTTGAGTGATTAAGATTGAAAGACGGCAGACAAGCAAAGAGGGCACTTTTCTCTGGTGGTCACTTTTATTGGGGTTATAGGTATCTTGTGTACGTTTGTGTTCTGTTCCTTCTGTGTTGTGTCTTGTCATGTTGTATTTACTTCTGTTTGGTCAGCAGCTCCACAATGGTTGGCACAATGTGGGACAGAGTGAGCCACATAATCAGACACACTGATAATATACTCCATCCATGAACAGGACAATAACATTCAAGACCCAACTACATAAATAGAACCCAAGTATCTCATGTAGGTGGCCTCTCTAGAACACCCAGTACAGAAGACCTGAGAGGATCTGCCACTGGGACCCACAAAACATCTACTACATAAGACCAATTTAAAAAATCTTTGTGGCATAGCAGTGTGATGTAATATATAGAAACAATTACAAAGGAACAACAAAATGGGGAGACAAAGAAACATTCCCCAAATTAAAGAAAAAAGAGGAATCACCATAAAAGGAACTAAGTAAAATGGAGGTAAGCAATGTATCAGATAAATAATTCACAGTAATGATTATAGGGATGCTCAAACATCTGGATGAGAAATTTACCAGCATGTATTAAAATCAAGAAGAAATGAATAATAACTTAGCTGCAATAAAGTACATAATGAAAGGTTTCAACAACAGACTAGAAGAAGCTGAGGACAGAATCAGTAAGATAGAAGACAAGGTAGGGGAAAAAACACCAGAGCAGAGCAGCAACTGGAATAAAAAAAATTAAAAAGCAGGAGAAGAGTCTAAGGGAGCTCTGGAACAACATGAAA